TCGGTGTGCTTTAACTTCTTGAGCGAATCCCTAGCAATTCAGGTCGTATTGCTAGGGAGGAATTGATCTTTCAATTCCTTTTTCAAGCTCTCCCATGTCTCGATCTTTGGATGCCCAGCAGATGCATCATCCTCATTCCGGGCCCGTCACCACAACTTGACATTCCTAGAAAGATATATACTAGTGATTGTAACTTTCTCTCCAGTAGACACATGGGCATCTATAAAGTACTGCTCCATGTCTGACAAGAAATTCTCCAAATCTTTGGCGCTTCAAGTGCCTCCAAAGGCCTTTGGTTCTGGAACTTTGATTTTTGAAGACGTCTCACCCACTGCAGGTCGAGAATTTATGAATCTTTTCACCAGGGATATTTCGTCTTAAAGTTCCTTCAGATTGTTTTTGACAGTGTCTGTGAGGGACAAAAATGTCCTCCATTATCGTTGTAAGCTTCGCATCGGTGTTGGACACATAGCTATCAAAACTCATCTGTAAACCAGCAATTTGAATAACGTGTTGTTCCATCTACACAGCCACATTGGTTGCAACATCACTTTTAGGGGCGCTTAGAAAATCTGAGACAAGACACACGTTCTCGCAATTCAGCAACGTTTCCACTGGCCATGGTCGCAAACTGAAACTCTAATACCAGTTGTCACGGGGTTAAATTTCTCACCAAATTTCTACCTCGTGATGGCACTGAGATCTTACACTAAGTCTCAGCCAAGCATTCAAAACACTCACAGAAATGCGCAAAGGGACAGAGTAGGGACAAGCAAGCTAACTCACACACAATACACAAGCTTTACAAGCCAATTGACTAAACCTTTCTTTCTCAGCAAAGTATAAGGAAACTCAGTCTTGGTTTTGCTTATAAAAATGTGCCCAACTTTCTTGGTTGCACTGCAGACTCAGACATGCCTATTTATAATATTCAGGGTGGTGGTTAGAAGCCCAACCATCTAGGCAACTACATACAATTTAAATCTGTCCACAAAGCTTGCTAAGAATGGTTAACCACCTTCAGCCACTTCCTCCATTGTTGATCATGGCAGAGACAGTTGTAATTGTTGGCTGACCCAGCCAACAACTGGCTGCAACTTCCCTGCATGCTGTGTGCACATGACAGAGACTCTTTCATGTTGTGCACCTGCCAGCAACTGCACTGAACTGTCACCATCTGCAGGGCACATGCCAACGTTTTCACATGTTGTTTATATGCCTTCCTCATGAGCCCTCAACATCTGATTGTCTTGCATTCGTGTTTAGTTATGCCTAACTCATGGCTTAGTCCTCCAAGTTAGCATTGCCCCACAATTCAGGGCACCTGACTACCTTGTTTGCATGCTCTCTTGTGCTCAAGTGCCCATGTGCATAGATTGCCTTCCTCAGCTATGCATGAGACTTCTGCCAATTTGGCTAAGGTGTGGGCGCCTTTAGGCGAGGCTGCCACATGCCAATGCCGCCAACGAGCCAAGGGGGTAACATTCATACATTATGAGTACTTGGATCAAAATAGTGTTAAATCAATAGTAGTTAATCATGTTGCTTAGGAAAAAAAACAAACATATATGTTGCCACATATGCTCAAGTTGTTACAGACATGAAAGATTATAAGAAGAAGAAAGAGAAGATGAAGAACGACTAAATTTTTATGAGAATTCGATTTGACTGTTTCATGGCTAAAGTTTTCTGGTAGCTACGTTGATATTAGTGTATGTGGTTGTTATATATGCTTTATTAATTTTTAAAGAGTAGATAATGATTAGTTTCATTAATTTTTCAGGTTTGTTTGGTTGTTATATTTGTTGTGTATTGATTAGTTTTGACAAAATTTATCAAATAATAATTAGTTATGGATATTTATTGTCGCAGTAGTTGGTTAATGTGGTTATATTAAGGTAGGACTAGCATTTATATGTATGATTATGAAATATAGAGATTGTGTACACACTTTTTAATAGGCAATTTTTTGTTACATAGCATCTTCACGCATGGGTTCATTGCTAGCATTCATAGGCGGATTTCAATTTCTCTCATTAAAGCAAAGCAAAAGGGAGCTTGGCTTTGAAGTGGGCAAATTTTGTGGACCATATCAATGGATTAAGATTGATTCAAAAATATAATCCAAAGGTACACATTTTTTGAATTGGGTAAATTTTAGCATTTTATAAATTGTCTTTATAGGGTGATATTTTTTTGGATCTTATTTTGAGGGCCAGTTTTGTCCAAATCTTTTAAAAGAACAAAGAAAATTAAATCAAATATTAATTAAAAAAATGAAAATTAATCTAAAGCAAAGCTTAGTAATCCTTATAACTGGACTTCTGTTAAATTATGAATAAACCTAGAGTAGAGTACATAACTAATCTGAAACAAAGAATATAATTGAATTTTTGTTAAATATTATAATTTTTTTTTGTTTAGCATATCAGTGTTTTTAGGCACTAGTATTTCTTCTAATTACATACGTTTGACAATAAGTTGACTTTTGAGTAAATATTATCGAGAGCATATGAATTTTATGGGTTTTTACTTTAAATTTATAGGAGGTTGATTATTAAAGTTGGGTTTTCTCTTTAAATTTATGGGAAATTAATTATTAAATTGATGAAAATATTAGTCTATATTCAGTTAAACAAATTCGGATCGAATTTGAACTAAAATTTGGTTTATAGACAAGTCTAACTTGAAGCATAGGGTTAGATGAAGGTTGAGCCGTAGGGTCTTTGATAAAAGGAAATGTTGTTGTGAGTTTTAAGTGTGGTATGATTTTTTTTTTTTTTTGAGGGAATGTGGTATGAATTTACTTCCATAAACTTAATCTTTTACATATATTCGAGTTACAAAAATGTATATTAGGCCTTGATGTTGGACTCCTACATCTACTAACAAATATTTTAAGAGCCATTCTAAACAAAATAAGCCTGACAAGGATTATAATTATTGTTGTTTGTTATGAGTGATTTTTTTTTAATTTTTTCCTGGTTGTTTCTCAATGCCCATGGAATATGTAAGTGGCTCTAAGTATTAAAGGTGTTATGTTAAGTCTATTCCAATTAGGGGTGATCACCTTACCCTACAGGTAGGAAATATGATCTTCCGTCTTCCAAACCGATATTTTGCGGAAGAGTTTTTTCTTGGCCTACCCTACCCAACAAGTGTGGTATTCCTATCTGATAAACATTTTTGTAACAATTAATTTTTGGATTATTTTAACAATTTAATTAAATAACATGCATCAATTTAACAATACTATAAATCAAGTAACACTAAAATCTAAAACAACTATAACAAGAATTATAATAAAACACAAGAAAATATGAACATTAATCCACCATAAATGTTACACAAATACAATAATAATTAATTTAAGTTTAAACTTTAAATCTTAAACCATATGAAATACATTAAAATCATAATTGTTCTGCCTGTGGTTAGGGTTTAGGATTTTTTTAGTTTATATATATATATATATATTATTGCGGGTAGAGTAGAGTAAGAGTATGGAAATGAATGATTATTTTGCATTCCTACCTGAAAATTTTCAGAAGACCAAAAATTTTTCTGTATTTCTACTCGATTTTTGAGGTTAGCCGTTCAATAGGGTCAGGTAGGGTAGGAACTTGCGGCCGATCAAAAATTTAAACACCCCTAATTCCGATGCCCTTGCCACTAGACACACACACATACCGCTGATTACAGTATCAACTGCAGCTTTGTTAGTTTTGTTATTTATTTATAGATGTAAGGAATGCAGGTTCTGAATAACAAAATTTTTAGGGGGTACATAAGATCATATTTATTAAGGGCATCTGCAGAATCCTTTTAGAGTACGCCATGCCCTTGCCTATTGAACGAAGGTGATGATGGATGGGCTTTGTTTTGGTGAAAATTGTGGCCAGCAGTCCAAACCCGCCCGGAGGGGGGGGGGGGGGGGGGGGGGAGTTTCTTGGGGGTAAGGATTAGTTGGAAGTGGATAAATTTTTTGTAACTTATTTGGGAAATTGTCCGGAGGGCACATCCCAATAGTAAGGTTGTTTTATTGTGATTTGGAGGTCACGAGTTTAAGTCGTGAAAATAGTGGTAAGACTGTATACATCTAATCCTCCCTAGATCCTATAATAGCGAGAGCCTTGTGTACTGGATACGCCCTTTATATTTATAGTCTCGTGTAATAGCGAGAGACTATAGATATGTGATGAAAATGACTACCGTGGAAAAATTGAAATCAGTTTCTGTTGGTATTCAAGCGTAGAGGACAGAGGAAGTCTTGCCATGGATTCACTATGGAGGTTTTTGGGTTATGGAGTCTCATCAGAGGAACGAGAAATCTCAATCGCCAGTATGTCAAGATGATCACCTGGTCATCTAAGGGTCGAATCATCGTTTCATCAACCAGTCAAACCGGTGGTGCAGCAAAAGAAACCGAATTATGCACCAGTTTATTCGTTTCACACTGTCACAATTTCAGTCAATCAGTGGCGTCGAGATCAGTTTTTCAAACCTTTTTTTTCTATGCTGATTTGAAGTGTTTTTCTTGCCAATACTGTGAATATGGTGTGAGCTAAAAGATGTAAAGCTAGTTTGAGGGAGCTACATAAATTTCACTGTCAATCTAACTGGCCAAAGAAAAGCTTATCATGACCACTGTTATTTATCAGCAAAAAACTGATGCACAAAATAAAAATCTATCAAAAGATTATGAGGTTTGGTAATCCCACCGCCAGTGATCAGCAGGAGAGCAGCGTGGAAATAAGTTATGGAGCCAAAGATATATTTACATAAGCAACAGAACTAAAGTTAGATTTACCAGACTTTGATACTGCCAAAGCAGTGTGTAAATAAGTTTGAACTCGATCACCCTCGTTCAATTATATTCCGCTTTACTGCCTACCATGGTGAATCTTATCTGGTTTACTCAAGCCTCGTGGTTCACTCAAATGCCTTTCAGAACCAAGAATATGGAAAAGCGTGAAGCTAGCATCTACATAAGCATCATTTCATGTGTTCCAAATCAGCACAATAGCAATAACCCCAATCCCCAAAAGCACTGCCAAAAACTTGTGATGTGGTGTGTCCACTGAAAGCATTCTCTGTGGTTTGTAACCCTTGAAGATTAAATGGTGACTGGAGATATAGACAAAAACCCCACATGAAAGGGCCATAGAGATGGCATAGATCCAATCTGCCACGATGCCCTGTGTAGTTGCATCCATCACAATCCCTATGGCAACACCAATAGGACTAGAGATGGCGAAGACAAAAGCATATGCAACACACGACAAAAGGGGACGATCAGGGATCACTCGAAGAATTGCTATTCCCAAGGCAATGGCAGCAAACACCTTGTGTAGGCTAACAATCCAAAGGGCTCTCCATGCCCTTCTTTTCGTTTCCATGGTTCCTATTGCAATGCCTTCAAATATGGAATGGAAACAGAGCACTATAATCAACATAACACTGTCTCCAAAGGAAATAGCACTGAAGAACAATGGGTCCATATAGTCATGTATTCCACTATCAACAACCTGGTCAAGCATAAAATGAAGAAGCTTAATCAGATTAATTTCCATTGCTAGTTATATTTTTGTTCTAATGGTACTGCTCTGTTTAAATTCCTGTCGTTTTATTCAAAGAACGCCATAACATATTTACTTGTTTATTTGAGTTGAAAGAGTAAACAAAAATATGTTTTGCGTCTCACTTGAATCTGTGATCGGGAGGTCCCAACACCACTGCTAGTTTTTCTCTGATGCAAACGCCCTGCAAATAAGAGAATATGCTTGATGAAACCATTCAACTGCTAGGCAAGAAAGTCATAGTTTGTATTCACTTGGCCTTCCGCGGTTCCACCACCAGTTATGGCTATTTTCAACAGGGAAATCCAAAACAAATCAAACAGAAAAAAACAGTTCCATAGTAAAACATGATTGCCTGCTTCCCAGTTTAGAAATTTTCGTCCCACAATCCATGTTTTAAAACATGTCAACTACCAGGGGCAATTTTGGTTTTGGGTTTTCTTAGGTGACGATGATCATATGGATCAAGAATTGAGTACTGGGATTGATAATTACTTTTGTTAATACAGTGAAAAAAAAAGAAAAGAAATTCCTTTAGGATTTTTAGGTCTTAGATTTCAGCAAAACTTTGTAACAGTTATCATCCTAAACTTTGGGTATGATTTAACTACTACGTGTTTGACTGATCTTGAGCTCTACCCGGTTGGTCAGTTGCATTGGTCAATTTTTCCTATCCTCCTTTCAATGAGCTTGCTAATATAACAATTTCGTATATAGATTGTTCGAAGATTCAGTGGTACTTCTGGAAAGTATAAAGCAACTACTTCCATAAAATTAGCCACACAAATATTTTAGTATTACAAAATTGATTAAATAAACCATAGTCTTCGGGGCAATCTGAATTTGAATCGTATTACAGCAGCAAACAATCATTCAAACCAAGATTCAGAAAACTTTCAATCATTTTCAAATATAATTTCTGAAAGCCCCACAACTATTCATAATTTCAAAAGCAATTCACTTCCCAAGCGGAAATTCAAATATAATTCGAGAATAATCCACAAAACTTTCCGTCAATTTCCAAAAGCTTAACCCACAACACATGAATTAGCATTCAACTAAAACCAATCCTGATAATTAATTATATAAAAAGCACATATTTATTTTATCTCCAAATTTTACCTTGAACTGCAGAACCACCACCGTATTCCGTACTCTCTCTCTTCCGATAAATATAGAGCATGATACAATCAGCTAACATAGCCAGCATATACCCAAAACAGGCCAACATGAAGGCGAAAGGATAGTTTTTCGAACTCAATTTCCCAAAAACTTCACCGGAATCGCTCAGAAAATCCATCAGAGCAGCACCCAAGAAAACCCCGCCGGCGAACTGCGTCCCCAGCAGAATGAAACCCTCGTTCCATTTCATCAAGTACGGTGAAACCCCAGCAAGAAACGAAACGATGAACACAATTACTAGACACCAGATCTTCACGAGAATTAGAGGCTTTGATCTCAAATCCAGCTGTGGTGGGTCGGTGGCGCTGCCGTGTACAATGGCGGAGAGAAGGAGGAGGAGGAGAGAGGGAAGCATTGGAGGTGGTAGTGATGAAAAGATGCATTTGAAAATGTGAGGTTTTGAAAAACTATGAAAATTTACTACGATGCTGAACAGTTCATGCACAGTGTTGATTTCAGAGGCTCTGAGGCTGCGTGTACACAAGCCGGATATGGAGTGGAGGTGCTTCCGTGTATTTTTGAGATTTAAATTTATTCCGTTACACTTTTATTTAATTTTAAATACTTATAAATTATTTATCAGATATAAATTAGAGATTCGTTTATAAATAATAAATAAATAAATAATAAGTAATCTACTATTAAATAAAATTATAAAAACAATTGTGCAAAAGAGAATTTCAACCCACTTCCACCACTTAGTGGTATCCCCACTTTAAGTCAATCTATGTAAAATAATGGACTCCCTCAATTAGTCAAATAAAAATCAGACATCCATTTTAAAAAAATAATAATGATTCTTTATTGTGATCTTGTCAAGGGACGATAATCCTAAGCCATGCACATGGACCACAAGCCTTCTTTGACACCGAGACCTCTTCCTTAGAGATAGGGGTGAGATTCGAATTTGGCTCAGAATTAGTTCCAACTAATTATAAGTGATTCAAATACCAACTTGTTAATGGAGTTAGCCAGCTAGGAGTTTTGTTCATGCTCAATTCCAGCTAGCTGATAATCACTGGTTCAATTTCTATATGTGCTTAGCTATAGAGTTTGAATTCTTGCTTAAGCTGGATTCGATTTGCTAGATCATGCGATTAGATTTTGTTCGACTCAATTCGTTTTTTGTATTTCAAGTTAATGAATAAAAGTAAAATCTACTCATTTAACTTCAAAAAAATAATTAAAAAAAAAACCTACTAATGTAATGACTCATGAGAATTCAGTTCCAAATTTTCTTCTCATTACCGAAATCGAACCAAACAAATAATATTACTTACCAAAAAAAAATAAAATTGCTACATTCATTCTAGGGCCCATAAATGTTCTACAAACCAAGCTGATTTTGTTTTGAACTGGATGTACATGGAGAGGGAGGGGTAACTAAGTTCGAACCCACAATCACCGGGTCTAACGGAGGGGTGGTGGCCATTAGATCAACTATTCAAATTTTTATTTTATAATCGAACATTCAAGACTTGAGACATCTGAGTTACTGCTAATGTTTATTGAAAAATATCTAACAAAAATTCGAACAATTCAATTATATTTGAGTTATATTAAATTACCCTCAAATTTTAACTTGGTTTTTATTAATAAAAATATGTGGTTTGGACATTGGCTGGGCGGCTACGTTGTTTTCCTCTATCCACTAGATGGGCACTGGCCCAACATGTCCCAAATGATGTGTCACTTCCCATAATGATGCTCCTACCATTGGAGAAAATATTCGGGACAAGGGGATATTATATCAGCATTAATACGTGATAATATAAATTAATAATGTGCAAATAAATATAAAAATGAATTTTGCATGTAAATTAATAATTACTCATTCTTCTTTTATATAAGTCAATAACTATACAACTGATATTCACTTTATCTATCTAGAGTTTTATTATATTGCACCCGTAGGTGAATTTGGGATCTCAGAGATATTAGCTGCAAAAATAGTGTCATCCGAACTCTCCAATGATTTATGTCGTCCATAAAATTTTATTTTGTAACCATAAAAGATGAATTTTTTTCAACTGTTTTTTTATTTTTGATTTTATCACTAATTATTATAATAACGTTAATTATATCCACATATATACTTTTATTTAATTTTTATTTTTTACTCTTATTTGATTTTCAACTTATTTTTGACTCTTGTATAAGAACTCATAAATTCTTTTAAATTTATTTATTAGTAGTATAGTTATATATAATTTTTTATATCTATATAAACAAGGTCCTATATATATTAAATTGTTATATATATGCATATAGTTAACAGACTGAATTTCACAGTCAAATATATGTTATATTTTATTTTTGTGGTATTTAACAATATTATAAGCGGTCCAATTAAACTATTTAACAAAAAAAATTAATAATTCTATAATATAATTAGATGTGTAAGTCAAAGAGATAGTTAAATAAATAACATATTAGGTACTCAAAAATTTATAAAATAAATTAATAATTAAATTTAACAATAATTAAAATATAAATTAATTTATTTGACAGTTAATTTATTATTTAATTTAATTACACATATAATTCATATTTCTTTTATAAAAAATATTATTTAAATTTATTTACTTGTAGTACACAACGTGAATGGGTACTCGGTAGTATAACAAAGTCATGCATTTTTCGACTGTTCAGGTGAGAAGCCACTTTAGGACCGGACGATAATTAGGGCTGTTAAAATTTGACACGACACGATTAATCGATACGAATTAAGTGGATTTGAGTGAGAGCTTAACGAGTTTGGGTGATAAATGGGTTGACACGCCAAATACGTTTAATAAACGGGTTGTGTTCGGGTAAGACCTATCAATCGTTTATCACACGTTTATTTATTTAAATAAAATTAATATAATAATAAATTAATAATTATTTTAAAAAATTAACAATAAAAAAAAATAAAGAAATCAATAAAAAAAAAGAAGCAAATTAGTAATTCAAAGACAAAAGAGAGGAGATGAGGAACATTTCAAAGACAAAGACAAGTCTTATTTGTCTCACATTAGAAAATAAGGGGAGATGGGGAGGGTTGAGTTGCCTATAAAAAACAATGACGTCTTACCTTTTTTTTTTAAAGTCTTCAAGTCTTATTTGTCCCACATTGAAAAATGAGGGGAGATGGAGAGGGTTGAGTTGCTTATAAAAAATAATTGTCTCTTAATTTTTTTTTTTAGGTCTTCAAGTCTTATTTTTATGAGATTTGACTAAAAAATATTCTTTTTTGAGGTAAGCGCAATTGACAATAAAAAAAATAGAGTATTAAAATTGTTAATATAATTGTTTTTAAAATTAAACAGGTTAAACGAGTCATGTCGTGTTACCTGTTTATTAAACGGGTCGTGTTCGTGTTGAGATTTTTTACTCATTTATTAAACTTGTCGTGTACGGATTTATATATTTTTCATTCGTCACTCATTTAACCCGATACGTAACTGTTTAACCCGACACGTTTGACAGTCCTAGCGACAATTACTCCCCCCAATTTTAAATCTGCTTTATTTATGCTATATTGTTTTACCATAATTTTATTTAATTTATTACATTTGCCCCTCTAAATTTTTAGAAAATTGTATATTTAGTTCCATTTTTTATTCAAATTTTATTTAGGTTAAATAAAAATTAGTTTGGCAATTTCATATATTAATTTAGTCTTAAATTTTAATATATTTTTTCGTGTTTGAACTTAAAATTTTTTTTTTTGACCAAAAAAAAAAAAAACTTAAAATTTTTGTTGTATTTGTTGGTTAATTTTTTCTAATTACATTTTGTACCTCCTTAGACAAATTCTTGGCTCCGTCCCTATTCCTTTTGTTATGGTTGTTATACGCCTTTAAAACCTCCACACACGATCTTACGTGAAAATATTTGGGTTTTAAATTGAATATTTTATGATTTAGAGCTCAAAAATCTTCTTAATTCCACTTCGTCAAATATTAAAACTGCAGGCCACAGCTTGGAAATGTACCGATGTTGATATGTGGTGTTCTTGATCAGGATCGAGACCACCACCATTATTATTGATGAAGAAAAGTCTGGCTACCAATCATTTAAAGTTTCGGATTTATATATTCTCCATTACAACTTCATTCAATGAGATAGATCATCCACAGTTATAAGCGGATTCAAGATTTCTTATTAGGGAGCACAAAATATAAAGTAGAAATGTGAAATAAGATGGAAGTCGTAAATATTGTCATCATTAGTATCGAATTTGGATAGAGTTATAATTTTTAAAACGTCAGCCTACTTTTGTTTTTTTTTTAAATCGAAACGATAGAAATTTTATTGAGAAGCTAAATCTAAGAGAAGAGATTGTATCAAAAAATTTGGTGTCATCTCTTTCCAAACATCAATATCTTCATCTAATATGGCCTTTTGAGCCGGTTGGTGAGCTACACGATTTCTTGACCATCTAACAGTAGACAAAGAATAAAAAATAAACAGGCAAAGAAACTGCTACACATCTACAATAATAGCGTTAATAGGAGAAAAATTTGCAAAATTATCGTCAATCCTCTTCATGATTGCAGAAGAATCCCCTTCCAACACAATCTCATCACACCCAATTTACCTAGCAAAAAACATAGCTTTCCCTGTAGCCGTAATCTCTGCAGTTTACGCTTCTCCCAAACCAATTAATTTCTTAGACATCTTAGCGATAAATGACCAAGTTTCATCGCGAATAACCACCCCTACCCTAATAGCATCCTTTATGTCAAACACTGACCTATCAAAGTTAATCTTAAAGGATCCAGATTTAGGAGGAACCCAACATTCTAGTGCACCTTTCTAGACAACACCTTGACCAGAATCCAAAGCTTGATCATACTGCGAAATAAACTCCATTGCCATATAACAAAACACCACTAGGTCATTTCGCCTCTGCTGGAAGATAACCTCTTTCTTGTTACGCCAAATATACCAACACAACACCAAGAAAATTGCACCAAGTTTTAGCTTAAGCTGCAAAATAATTTCCCAAAACCAATTGACAATGTTCCCAGCAACTCAATGTATTAAATGACAAAGAGAACTCACATTCCACACCTGTCTCGCCCATGAGCATTCTTTAATGATATGTATCATAGTTTCAACAACCTCTCCACATACACAACATACCCTATTCGGTCTAATTTTTCTATGCCACAAATTTTTGTTGGAGGAAGAACATTTAAGATCATCCTGCATGCAAAAAGTTTTTATTTTACTTGGAACATTTTGATTCCAAAAAGCACCCCAATTACCCCCTGAATTTGATGACGAATCGGAACTTGTACAACCCGGATAGAGTAAATTCTTCTCATATGCTAAATAGTACGCACTTCGGACTGAAAATTTGTC